CACGATTTCGTGGTGGGTGACGTATTTAACAACTTTGATTTCCGATTGGCTAATTACCGCGGCATAAATTAAACATGCTAATAACGCTTCACCTCGGCCCAGCTATAAGGAAGATTCAGGTCAGCTCAGCTGCACTGCGATGAGTGCTAGGCCCATAATTGCAGTTCGTCCAACCATGTATGGAGGTAATATTTAGACGCACCTTCACAACAGAAGTGTGCCACATAGAAAGTTATTTCAGATGTGCACTTTAAATTAGCATTCTAATAATGATACTGTATTGTAACACTAGGTTGAATTTTTTTTTGCATATTCTTTTCAACATCATGATTACAGATGAGCTTGGTGACGTCATCGAACACCATCATCATTATCCCCACCACTGATAACGATGATGGTGTTTGATGACGTCATCATCATTATCCCCACCATTGAATTCACAATCATCAACAACCCCCATAGCTAACCATACATAGCCGTCCAGTCAACATCAATACTATCATTTTCACCTGCTCCCTTATCCCGCATAACTGTCATGTGAGGGTTATTGGCAAGCGGAGGATTAGAACCGGGGTTTTCAGCACAAGAAAGAAGAACATTACCTTTTTCCAAACGCTCATCATTATCATCTTCTTCTCATCATTATAATCATTGTCATTGTCATCATCCTCATCATCTTACCATCAGGCATCATTATCACTATTTTCATCAATCTAAAAAAATCAGTAGTGACGTCATCATTTCATTTGCAATTTTTCAAGCAATATTGGCTTCTTCGGCGTCTATTTTCATAGGGTACTCTCAAAACTTCACTATAATCGCATAATATCAACAGGCCTACATTATGCCTTCTGAGGTAATTGAAACATTGTTAAATATTATGAAACACGAGTGTGGAAATAAAATGTTTAAAATGTTATCCTTAAAATCGGTTAAATGCGGGTTAGCTAGAAACACTGCCCCTACCGGTGCTTGCCTTCTCGGTGCCCCAGGCGGCCGCCACACGTAAGCTCGGGCCAGTGGCCAAAGGCCATTCATCCCTAACTTCCAAGCACGGATTATTATGGAATAATATGAGGTTTTCTAATTAGGTCTAGGCTTATATGATGATTCTTGAAAATGATCAATTGAAAAGTTGATGTTCAAAAAGTTTTATATATAGGCCTATGTATTTATTCAAAATCAAATTTAAAACATGATAATATAGTAGAAACAAGTACTGAGGCAACAGTTGTCTCAGCTCAATTGATCATCAAGCCCTCCCTCCTACCCCCCCCCCATTTCCAGACTTCCAGTCTGGTTACGTACCCAACCCTCGACCATGGAATGACGGTTTTTTTAACGCACGGGGAATCCCCGCGCTGAATAAACACGTCACGTGATACCAGACCAGCACGTGACTAGATAAACATGGAGTCACACAGTAAGTCGTTGCTGTTCTTATGTTGTTGGTTGGGCTTATTGTCTGTCAGCACATCGGCTCCACGGCAAGTGCTATATAAATTGGACTCATCGTGGCCCCTAAATACAGATGTGTTTACTGGAAAAGTTTTCAGTGTCGACATCGATGACAAAACAGGAGAAATATACGTGTCCCAGGTAAATAATTTTCATCAAAAGATAGGTAGGCGTCATAGTAGTCCTATCCTATCCCTAACCATACTTTACAGAGCACTTCTCACTCAGCTCCACAACTAGGCCAGGTGCTGGGTGGGATGGTGCGATATGAACCCACTTTTCGTATAGGGGTGCGTTTGGGCTAGAACGGGAAAAATCTACATATATACAGTATAAATAATAAGGTTCTTACCGGTGTTGTATCCGCTGGTGGTCTATGGTTCGTGCAGAACTCGGCTTTCAAAAAGACCATTAAACATTGGACTTAAACATAAGGTATTATGCAAATGATGAGTTTCTATCAAGTTTCCCTGGACCCTTGCATCATCCCACGCTTTAATTAAGAAACGGATGGTTGTTGTCTCAAAATCAAGTAATTAAATGATGAAGAAGCTAAAATAAGCTTCATAAAGCATATATTGCAAGCTCCCAATAAATCTCAGATAAGCATTTTGGGCATATAAACCATGAATAAGCTTTCATTCGTTTGACAATGGTAGTTTAAAAATAGAAAATTACTACCATTGTTAAACGAATAAGCTGTGGTGCCACGATCATGCATGCATGTGGCCCACATGAGGTGGACGTATGTGTATTATGGTAACAATCTGGATTCTAGGCTAGCTCTCCGTTGAAGTAATATATTTTATCAAGCATTTCAGTTTTGTTTTTGGAAATAAACTGTAAAAGAAACAGGAACCATGAAAATTTAAAAATACTTTACTTCTGGCGCTTGTTGGAAGAATTAATTAGCAATAAAAAAGGATCTTACAAATAAAATTATTATTATTAATTTATCTTTTCTGTCATTTCTTATTTTATAAATATTATACTCTTTTTCTAATTAACCTTTACAGTTCTGATGAATTAATTTAGGCCTTCTTTCACTCTCAATACTACTTTATAGCTTAAGTTAATTGGAGGCACAGACTTAAAACCTTAATGGCTTATTGTGTCCTCCGCACACAACCTTTCTTTTATTATTATTATTATTATTATTATTATTACATTTACTATTATTATTATTATCATTATTATTGCTATAAATTTTATTATTATAAATTATGTTATTTATTTACCTTTCTGAAGAATTTTATATTGTATTTTTTCGTTGTGTGAAATAAAATAAAATGAATGAATGAAATGAAGTAATAAAAAATGCTCCTTGCTACTTACGCATGGTTTGCTCCTCCAAAACACTGCAATTTGCAGCGTTGAATTATCAGCGGACATCAGCAGGCGGTCTGCTGATAACTGGATAACTGGAAATGGCCGTTTCCGGATTTATCCCGAGTTAGACTCCACAAAAAACTCACCTGAACGCACCCCTTGTCTACAATGTGCAGTATGGATTATTTCAGATGTGCACTTTAAATTAGCATTCTAATAATGATACTGTATCGTAACACTAGGTTGAATTTTTTTTGCATATTCTTTTCAACATCATGATTACAGATGAGCTTAATACTTTTGTTATTTATTAAGAGAGGAGTTGATTATCATCCTGTAGTAGTGTTCTCAGAGGATGGAGAGCTGAAACGAGTGTTTACTTTCGACACCTCCATTGTCAGTATGATCCATGGACTACGAGTATTCCACAATGTTTCATCCGGTCAAACAAGTGTATGGGTCACAGATGTTGGAAATGGTAATTTGAATGCGTGTATTTTTAAATGTTGACTAACCTTATTTAAACTTTAAAACTTGGGAATATTGGGCCAGCCATATATACACCAGACATTAGTGGTATCAAAGGCACCAGACTGACTAAGATGCTCCAAATTCTTTAAAACTAAAAAAAAAAAAATGTGAAAAAAATACTAAAATTACATTTTTAATCTAAGTACGAGAGTGCCATTTCCTGTTATCTTGAGGTTCCAAAGCCATAAAAGTTTGTACCTCAGCCCAAACTATGGTGTGGCTGAGGTGGTCTGCTCTGGACCCTCCTTATGTAGAAGTCCCTTTCTGAACCCTCTTTGCCTTAAATTCCTGGGTCCATCACTGAGACATGATGAAAACCTAAACAACGTGTTTATATGTGAAGATCATTAACTGTCCTAGACAAAGTTTAGGGACTGCAACTCAGTCTATTACCATCCCTAAATTGTAACATTGCTAATTATTTTAGTAAAATTATAATACTGAATAAATTAAGATAACACTCCCTATTGATTTTATTTTCAGCTACATATGGACACACAGTAAAGAAGATTTCAACAGATGGTAAACTGGAGCTTGTCCTTGGAACTGCAGGAATAGCAGGATCAAGCTTGAGCCCTTTGCAGTTCGGCAATGTTGCGGATCTTGCTTTCAGTGAAAAGGGAGAGATGTATGTGGTAGACGGAGATGGTGGGGTTAACAACAGGCTGTTGAAGTTATCTCAAGGTAAATATAAAAAATAGTGTTCCCCAAGCACTGTGATATTTTTTTAATTATGGTCATTGGTCAAGACTTTTTTTTTTTTTTACACTATATAGGCCTAATTATTCATGATAACAATCACTCACTTCATAATTTTTGGTAAAATGGTAACAACAGGGCTAAATTTCATGAGTAAGGTATTCTCTGTACAGATTATCAAATTTACTTTTGACAAAAAAATTGAGTATGCCCATATATAGTCAAAATGTGCGTATATATAGCCATGATATGATGGACCATACTTAGGCATAACTTTAGTCGAGCTTCGAACTAGAACTTCATTTAGTGCTTGTTCCAACTTCAATTTTGATTTGTATTCACAAACAACATAGTCGAAATTTTAACTAGGACTAAATCAAGTCCTAGTTTTAGTTCAACTGACGACGACTGGCAAACCACGACTATCAAACTAACCACTGCAAAGGGCTAACTTAAATAGCAGACGAAATTTTAGAGATCCGGTAACGCGGATGAATATTAAGCTGCCGTCTGTGTTTCAAAAATGTATTTCCTCATATTATTCAGAATAGAACATTATTCGCTTAATTAATTTTTTATAATGATAACTATATTAGTTGTTAACATATTACGATTTGAACAGTCACCGAAAATTTGCTTTCTTTGGAGAACTATTATAGTTGAGCCCGAACGAGGGGGGCACCATCTTTGTTGTTGTTATGGTGAAGCTACGTGACTGCAACGAGAGGGGATTTCGTGCAAATCAGGATCTATCGCATATGGCTAGCAAAACATGTTAATTTCTCCTTTTGGAAGCTAAACTTGATGTGTCTTTTGTTTAACACACAGAAGATTTATCAAACCTGCGTATACATTTGTTTTATTCATTTAATTTTATTGTGAGTTATGAAAAACACGTTTTAAATGGGGTAAATATTTTAAGTCGGTGATTTAGTCTGACCCAAGGCTGACTAAAAAATTCGGCCTGCGGAGATATCATTTTAGTCGAGGTTCACGTCATTTAGACATAGTGCAAGTCGAAGATCATTTTAAGAATACGAAATGACGTAATTTTTAAGTTTTAGCTCGAACTACGACTAAACTTTGTTTTAAGAGTACCGGGGTGAGAATTGAAACCAATGTCCATGAATTAAAAAAAATAACGAAGTATATCTCACATACGTATGTGTAACTGCTGCCAGTTAATACACAGTGTGTGTGGAGAATTAAAGTAGGTCTACTTTAGAAACTATAGTAATTAAAGGCAGGCAGGTGATCTGACTATAATTACTCTCTATTGAAACTGAGTTATACTTGTTATGCCCTACATACAGTATATTATATAGAACATATTATTCAACATTAGATAATACAGGACCAAGAGGAGAACCTATTGATACTCCATCACATTGCTTATAGTACTCATTATTACAAGAAAATACTGTTTTGGTGCAAGTAATTTACGTAAAGTAGTTTTCTTAAGATTGGTGGTTATCAGTTTTTGATTATATATACTCTGTCAAGCACAATATTAATTACCTTAGTTAACGGAACATTTAGTAAAAAGTGATTCTACATCAAATGATACAAAACGATAACCGGCATGATAAAGGTGAGGAGGTATCTCCTTGACGCGATGAGCAGCGTCAAACGACCACCAATCTTAAGGAAACTTGCGGATACCTGCACTAAAACAGTAT